GATGAATGGACAAACTCATAGTCTAGAGAAGGCTATGAGACCTTGCTCAACTTTTTGAGGGATGCCTGGCACATTGTAGGTAAGCTGTCAGTGGAAAAATTAATGAACTCCAATGCCCATCCACCTCTGGGAGGCGGACTTATAAATGTAAGCACTCACTGTCTGAATTGAATGGATAAGGACTAGCAGGGTAAGGGGAACTCACTGTCCATATCCAATTCAATGGACACACCCAAACCCCAACATGTGCACATAACACTCTTGATTGATGGCACCATTTCCCTGATGCAGGCTGATTTTTTATTGGAATAATAGTAATAACTCATACACGCCACTCTTCACGTATCAAGCACTTTCCTAAGCAGTTTTGAAATACTAATTTTTATCTTCAGAATATGAGATTGACACTGTCATCAATGATTACCAAAATGGGAATGGAGGCAGAAAGCGGTAGAGACAAGTGGCCTACTCTGGCCACCCGGCTGGTGAGCCAGGGGCTGAGAATAGACACAGGCTTCCTTCTCTCGGTGCGCCCCTGGGCTCTGCTGCTCATACCTCTTGGTGACAGCCAGGAAGCCTCTTTTTTGCTATTCTGATGATCCACAGACTCACAGCATCCTCCACAAACTCCTGTGCCCTGCCTTGGGGCATCATCACACAAGAGCAGCTGAAATCATGAGCACATCTGATGAGTTGCTAAGAGCCTGCTCAACTGCAAGTTTCTCAGAAGACCAGAAATGTGGTCAAGCACCCAATTTCCGGGCTGCTTCATGTATTTACCAAACACAGTACTCATTTTAATCTCTTGCTAAAACAAACAGCACCAGTACCTACACCTACAGAAGACAATTTTGTCCCTGTGAGTGTCGGTGTGCAATCCAGCAATGCAATTTCCTCCCGTGCATGTTACCATCAGGCAGCGAGTAGGTCATGAATGAGCCAGCGTCCGCCTGAAGCAGTTTCTCTGCAGATGCCACACGTGCCGGTTTCTCTTTCTGCACTCAGTGCCCGTGGCTCCTACTGAGGATCATTCCTGTGACACGAGAACAGTTGCCAGAACCTCTGCTTCAACTCCGCCAGGTCGCAGATGAAGAAAGAGACACGCAGTGACATGAAGTGCTCCCCTCGGCGGGTCTGGGGGACAGAATGTACTGGAATCCAGGCCTCTGAATGGCAGCTGGGGCCCTTTCCAGTAAACCACCCTGAGCATGACTTCGCAGAAACGTTTAGATAAGCTTTACACCTCATCGATGTGAGCGGCATTGCAACGGGGATGTGTCATCTCTTATTCTTAGTAAAATGACTTTTGTTAGAACACATTTCACAATTTTATATTTCACATACTTGTAACCCTGCTGGCTGTGCCCCAGTGGCCGGCAAACTGCTGCCACAATGGTTGCTCCATCCCTGAGGTTTTGCAATGGACGCAATTAGCCGCTTCTAAATTCTTGACCATTTTCAGTGTATTTCCTCTGTTTCCTGTCCGCCCTTTTCTTTCTCTTTTTTTTTTTTTTGAGTCTCCTTTATTTTGGCACCCTTGCTCACATGCTCACATTTACCATTTCATCTGCATGAATAAAAATGATTACTGAAATACGTGCCATCTGTGGTGGCTGGATTTGAAAACGTGTTTCAGTTTTTGTAATAGGGTCCTTGCAACATTTATTCTTCTTTGTAGAATCACCCCTTTCTGGTCTTTCCCTGGGTCTCTTGGAAATGCTTTGAAATGTATTCAATCCATCAGCTGCTTTTGTCTGGGGAAATCATGTAGTCAGTGCAGAGATCTAATTTCTTTCTTAGCTTGAGCAAGAGCTGTTTAATAGGAAACATTTTGGCTTCCCCTGCTTTAAAGCCATCACTTCCACACTTCTACAGGGACTCTTATTTGACCCTCTTCTATTACTCAATTCCAACCCCCCACCCCCAACACACACACTAAATAGTTTTTGAAGACTAAGGCCAAGCATGCTAATGGAACTATTGCTAGTAGAACCATATGGCAGAAGTCAGGGGGCGAGGAGCAAAGGCTGAAAGAGAGAGTAGAAATTCCTAAAACTCTGGGATAGGTATGGAGCAAGAGAAAGTCGACATTTGGTAGAATAAAGGTATGCAAAGGAGTACTAAGAATTTGAAGGATTGCAGAAAGGCCAGAGTTAAAACTAAGAATGCATTAAGTAAAGCAAGAGGGGAAACACACACACACACACACAMAAAAGAATAAAGGTCACCAGAAGTAGAAGTATAAAAAGAAAAGTCAAAGAGGAAGAGAAAGAGGAGGAGGTAAATGATTAGAAATGGCATGGACTATAGAAATAAAAGAAAGTACATGAGGGAAAGAAAGACCATTCCAGGAAGCTTCTGCAGAAACAGTCAATGATTCATTAGGTCAAAGCCAAGATACTAGCATAAATCGCAAAATGATGGGGGGGCACCCCTAGCTCATACTGTTGAGCCCCAACTTGAAAAAAAATAAAAATAAAATAAAATAAAATAAATAAAATGATAATGTATGGATTCCTAGAAATGGCCTGAACTTCTGTTCATGAAGTTTAACAAAAGGATGTGAGATGTCAGGAAACATCGTAGAGCGGAAAGAAGGTGGTCCTGGTAAACAGGACTCAGCTGGCTGGGAGACAGCAGACCAGAGAAGCAGTGGCTGAAAGTTTCTGGGCTATGAAAACTTTTCTACAAAGAAATCCAGAAGCCCAATAGACAAAGCAGATAAGGTGAAGCTGCCAGATTTGACTTGCCTGATAGGGAGTCTGCTTTTCAGCCCTCAGCCCTCCCCTTCCTGACACCTCTGCAAGATGGCTCCATCTTCCAGATGATTCTGGGTAAGCCCCATAGACATTATTTTTTTTTAAATGATTTTTTTTTCAACATTGAAAATCAGGATATTTTACAAAAATTTAAAATGTCAACTTTCTTCTGAAAAATTGGAGCTGTGAGCCCCTGGAACTATTTTCCAGCATAAGCAATAAAGCCAGTGTCTCCCTAGTGGGGCATGATTTTTTTCTGTTTGTGTCTCAATCCACATGCAGCTCGCTTCCTGAATTCTCCTTAGAAGCCCACTTTGCAGCCAGCTCTGCCCGCCAAGGTCCCGTGTAAAAGCCTCTGGATGTGAATGGCTTCTTAGGATCTTCAGCTTGAAACGTCCTGCTGGGGTCTTCCCATCTTAGTAAGGAGAAGTCAGTCTGGGTTATTTTGATCTCAAGTTATAGCTTTCAAATCTGCTTAATCGGAGAGCATATTGGTAGGGTAAGAAAATGCATTTAAGTGTGATTGTTTTCTGCTAGTAGCTCTCATTGCTGTCCTAGCCACCACCTCCCTAGCGCCCACCCCCAACTCAGCATTGAGAGGGACAGGCCACCCAAAGTCAAAAAAAAAAAAAAAAAAAAAAAAACCTCTTGACTTTTGGACAGGGTATAGGTCAGTGGTAGAGCACTTGCCTAACATGCAAGAGGACCTGGGTTCAATCCCCAGCACTGGGAAAAAAGAAAGGAGGAAGGAAAGAAGGGAGGGAGGGAAAAAGAAAGAAAGAAACTAAGTAAGTTAGTTTTGACATGATACTTGAACCAGAACTCCTTCCTCTTCTTCCCGACAGTGTAGTCACACAGTCCTGCTGCACAATGAGGCAGACATTATGTCCTCCGCAAAGCCTCCCCACCCTGGTTAATTTGTTTCAAGCCTCTTAGCTCCTATGCTCCATTCACTCTGGTTAAGCAGTGAACACCTGTCTGTTTGCTCTAGGACACAGCATGAGACATGCCAACACTTGGGTCCTGGGGACAGCTCCTTCCTCATAGGTTTAGCAGTTTCCTAATCACCAGGAGGAGCTCAAGAGTTATTTTCTAAGCTGGTATCATAGACATCTTATGCTTCCTCTGATCTCCAAGTTAGATGGTCGTAAACAGTAAAACACATATATCACGTAGGCACAATCTAAAATTCTCCAGGAGATTGGAGGGGCATCAGGTTTCAAAATTCAGAATAAAGAACAAGTATCTAGGGTCAAAGCATTCCTTGGCTCTCACTGCATGGAGTGACTCCAGGCTCCTTATTTACCCATCTTGAAAATCCACTCATCTTTCTATGTAGACATCTGCCCATTCTACACCAGCTTTGGAATCCTATGACATTATTCAAAATGTGTATGACATCTGGTAGGAGGAGGGAATGTCATGTACAGCAACTCTCATTTACTAGGAAGTAGCTGATTTCTGACCTTGAAAAGGTAGCTGATTTACCGATAAGGTTTTGATCTCATCTGAGGTTTCTTCAAAGCCATAAACAGGCATTTTGAGGGCTTGGAGAAAAGAAAACTATCAGTAAATGGGAGAAAAGTGGAGATGATAAACCAAAATCAGAATTTGTTTTCAAGATAATCAATTTTTCGGAATACATGTGAACTAGAAGGGAGGTGGTTCTTGAATTGTTCTGCATCTAGGAAGGGGGTAGAGGGCTGGAGATGTGAAAGCCCACCTCACGCCTCCAAGTTGTCAGAGCCGTTTATTGGCAAAACTGGACTTCTTTACCGGATGAATTATGAACAACAGTTCGACAGCATTCTGAACCACAGCATTATCCTGCAAGGCTTTCTAAAAACCTACCTGAGAGGTGACCAATATCTTTAAAACATTACCCTGGGTGCTTACGAGAGTATCTGTGGGAGAATGAGTAAGGTGGAAAAGACTCACTCTAACCGAGTGTATTTTCTTTGATGGTGGACACTCATGATGGTGTACCTGTGTTCACTCCATTCTTTACTTGGGTGTTTGCTTTTTTAAACATGGGAGAGGAAAAAAGAAATGGAAATTCAGCCCAACTCCCACGTAGTCCAAGCAGAGAGGGAGGAGGTCCTCGCCACCTGCCACATTCCCTATTTGGGCTAGCCTGTGCGTCACTGTCAGGAATATGGCTCCCTTCGCCGAGGCCCGCAAAGCCCCTCCATTTATTTATCTGGAAACGCAGGGTGTGTATGCCACGTGCTTTTACAACCTCGGCCGGGTGCCCTTTCTCCCATTTCTTTACGTCTCCTGCGTAGCACGGGAATTTCAGGGAAGAAGACGAGCGCATTCTATTGGGGACAGAAATGACACTAAAGAGCGACGAATTCAAGATCGCCAGAAGAGACCCGGCACGGTTCGGTCCTCTCCAGCCTCAGCACCCAAGGCCGGTGGGCGACCCAGCCCGGCCCACCCGGACAGCGGGGGGGCCCCCACCTGCTCCGGGGGAAGCGGCGGCCACCTCTCCACGTGGCCCCGGGCCAGATGGACCTGGACGCGCCTGGTTTCCCGGTCCTGTTACGCAACAACTTTGCGGCCGTCATCTTCGCCCTAATTGTGCAGGGGGCGGTGTTTACGCGCTGAGCTTTCCTCCCCGCTCCAGGCCGTCGCGGCTCTCGGGAGAAGCGCCGGGGCATTTCCACCGTGGCCTTCGCCGCGCGGCACGGCGCAGCGCCCACCGGCCGTCCCGACCCCGTCCCCGCCGCTCGCCAGCCGCCACCCCCGACTGTCCCTCCCGCCGCCACCCCAGGTGCCGGGGTCCTCTCGGGAGCGTGTGGAGGACGGAGGCCGAGGTCCCGGCCACGCCCGGTCGCCGCAGCCCGMGCCCGGGCCGGCGCTCTGCCTGCCACAGGTAGCTCGGCTGGCGGCGGCTGGCGGGCAGACAAAAAGCGCCTGGGCTGGGGAGCGAGGGTCGCGGGTCGCACGGAGCCGCGGCGGCGACGGGGAAGGCGGAGAGGCCCGGGGCACCGGGCCCGGCGAGGGTGGGGGTCCCGGCTCCCCCTCCCCAGCCGCGCCCCGGTCGGTTCCGCGGGGCCGGCCGTGGCGCCACCCTCCCGCGGGCCGCGGGTCCCGGCGGAGGCTCGGGCGGCGGCGGTGGCCGCAGCCAGGGAGAGACGCGGACTGGCCGTGGCGCCGCCACCCCGGGGGAGTGGGGCGGGGGGCGGGGCGGGGCGGGGCCGCGGAGAGCCCGCCCCCGCCGGCTGCGGCCATTGGCGGCGGGCCGGGGGCGGGCGCGGGCGCGGCGATTGGGGCCGGGGCCGCCCGTCACGGCGGGCTGGCGGGCGGCGACGCAGCGCCGCGCTCGGAACTGACCTACTAACACACATCTCTCGGCGCGGCCACGGCGCCCGCGGACCCGGCGCGCCCGCCTGCCGCCTCCCGCGCCGCGCCCTCGCCGCTGCCCGCCGCGGCCCCGCAGGCCCGGCCCGGCCCGGCCCGAGCCTCCGCGCCGCCGGCCAGACTCCGGGCCGCCCCTTTCTTTCTCTGCGCTGCTCGGGCTCCGGGCGCAGAAACACGGTAAGTGCTCCGCCCACCGCCGGCCGGGGGCCGCAGCCCGCTCCCCGAGCGCGCGGCCGGCGGGCACTGGGCGAGGGGTGCCGGCCGGGGGTGCGCGGGGCTCGCCGGAGGCGGCGAGTGTGCGCGGCGCCTTCGTGACATAAACTTTTGCTGCCTGGTCAGGATGGGACTCGCCACCTTAAGGTGGCTGCTTTGATTGCAGCGCCCTCGCGCCGGCACGTCGTCCGGGCTGGTTGGCGCTCTCCCCCCCGCTGCTATTGCATAATGTCTCCTGATTTCAGGAAAATTGATGTTTTGGTGGAGAAGAGCGCCAGGGAGGCTGGGCAGAGGCTGAGCTCTCTCGGAGCGGGAAGATGCTCTTTCCTTTCTCGTCCCTTCTCCGGGGCTGGCGGCGCGGGGAGTGGGGGGTGGTAGGAGAGGTTCGAGTCATGGGGGTATAATCTTGATTTGCTGGTGGCGAAAGAGGGTGGCTCGCGCGAAAGGTGACGGCATTCGGAGAATGCCTGCGCGGCGTCTGTGTGTGTCAGGCGCTGTACGGGCACCGACGTTTCCCACCCTGTTTGTCGTCAGCGTGTTTTACAAGCCCTCGGGAAGGTTGTGGGATTTGTCCTTTCTTACATTGCATAATCTGCCCACGGTGAAATGTTGGCACGGATTACGGGCTGATGGGGGAATAGGCGCGTATGTGTGCAATGATCTGGTAATTTTAGAGCAGCTTTGGGTATTAGATCGTTATTTACATCTCTCTGATATCCCAAATAAACATGTTTTAAAACGACCCTCCAAAACATAAAAAGAAAAATTCCTGGGGAGGAATGCTGATCTTGGGTACTACGGGAGGGGGAGGTGTTTGCTCCTTAAATGTTCAGAACTGTTATTTTTAAATCTGGGACGAACCATTGTGACGTTTACCTCCCCACCTTCCTAATTGTAATGCATTCCATTCGATCAGCCCTTTTTTTCCACCTTATTGTCATTGCTTTTTCAGACACTACAAGACAGATCACATAATAGTTTCCTGGAAATGTTGCATTATGTAACTGCCGAATTTGCTGGCAGTGAGCATAGAAAGAGGGAGCTAATTACGTGATTTTATAATCTTGCTACAAAGAAAGTAGGACAATCTCAGCCTTTAAGAATGTCACCATAACAGGTTTTATTAAGGGATATTTTAAACAGGAAAGTAGACAACCGGCTAAGCGTTGGGTTAGCTCATGCTGCCAAATGTGTCTCTTTTGCCCTAAATGAAATGCTCGTTCTTCTAAATTTAGCCCTATCACATTTTAACAATTGTGGCCTCAGTGCTATTTCTGGTGTTTTCTCCAGGGCTGTGTGCAAATACAAGTTCAAGGCCATTTGCTGTAGTTTTAACTCCACGCCTTCGGAGACCTTTGATAAGATTGTATTTTTAGGAAGGCATTTCGCAGCGCCCAGTGATTTGCTGTACGCTGACTCTCATTTATCTTTTTAAAGGACACTTGAGGAAACTGCTGTTCTCTGAGAATAGCAGGGAATGGCCAAGAGTCGTCTTCTGTTCTTGGCTTTGGTAAATAACAACAGCTAATGAGGTCAGAAGTATTTATTTCACATCCTATTCCTCCCGCACACACCAGATGAGATTTATGGGAAACAGATAGGTTAGTAGATTGCATTTCTGTCTCAATAACCTAGTTTTGTGCGTGCGAAGATAAATGAATATGGAAAGTACCCAGATAGAGAATTTCTTTCTAGATTCTTACCTAGTGTCATTACTTGTGAATTTAGGTACAAGTGTGTATACGAACAGCCCCCCCCCCCCCGCGTAACGTTCAAATAATTAAAGTGCAGTAATTACAGTCGTTTTCCAAGAAGCGAGTATAGCTGGAGCCCCCCACCACCCGGCAACCTCCCACCCCCGGYGTCAGACCCCGACCTAGTTTGCAAGCTCGGGTGGGAGCCTCAGGGATGTAGGGGCAGCGAGGCGCCACCTTCCGATCGCCACCTCCGGGGGGCGCGTCCGTGCAGTCCCGGTTGCGCCCCTCCCTCCTGCGGCCCGCGGGGTCTGCGGGAAGCCAGAGCTGTGAACCGAGGGGCTTCGGGCGCATCTGGTGGTGGCGAGCAGAGACTTGGACTCCGGACGCGCCTCCAGACGGCTGCTGTTGGACAGGGGCTGCTCGGTGGCCTGCGCTGCGCTCAGCCTTATCCGCCGCCCCCCCCACGCACACACCAACATTCCTTTGTTCTGGCGCTGGGGGTCCTCGCGGCGCCAAGGCCCCGCTGCGCCGCCCACCCAGTGGGAGGCGGGTCTCGGGGAGAGGCGCAGCGTGGGGGCGCGGCCGAGCCTGGGCGAGAGGGACCCACGGCTGCCGGTGCGCTCTGGGTTCACCGCCGGCCGCCGGAGAGCGGAGCTGGAGCTGGAGGGACTCTGGGCCCGGCTTCTGGAGTAGAGGGCAGCCGGGCGACCCGGAGCGCTCTCGTGTGGGTGTCCCGGGCTTCCGATGGGACAAATTCAGGGGCCAACTAACTCTATGCCTTGGCACCGCGAGGTTCTAAAACCCGCAGACACCTTTGTTCCAGGAATCTTCATTGTATTTCAGAGCCAAGTGCTTCTCCTTTTATGAAGTGAAAAAGAAAAATCTCCAAATATCAATAAATCACAGAACTTGGGGGTGGGGGACACTCCGGTATGGACAGGAAAGGAAAGGAAGGCCCCCAGCTTGAGTATGGCCATTTAAACTCATGCTTTATTATGTTATTTAAAATCATGCTTTTTTTTTTTTTTTTTTTTTTAGTCTTTAGTTTATGTGATCAAAGCCCAAAGGGAACTCGGTTGCCCCGACTTCAAAATAAAACAAAATCAAAATGCCCTCCGCTGCCGTGAAAGAACTGCACAGCACTCCACTCGGGCTTGAAGACTTCCAAATTGGGCTCAAGCAGTAATTTAGTGCATTCATGGAGACTTAGCAGATGTTCTTTGAGAATGTATCAACTCAATTTGCTCTTTGTTGAAAACAGACTGAAAGCTTGGCTTCTAAGGGTCCATATCTGACACCTCTGTCCCTAGCCAGTTTCCCTCTTACTACAGGCTACCTGCAGTTAGATACCCCACCTTGGTGAGGTGCAAAAGGCGCATGCGCTCCCTGGTTCCCGGGCCTAGCCAGTGATATTCTGACTCTACTATGATTCTGCCAGCTTTCAGGATAGATTGGGGGAATCACATCCATGGAGCAAGGCAGTTGTGAGGAATCAGGATTCATATACGTAAGGTCACCATTTTTCTCTGCCTAGATTTCTGTGCAGTAAGAATTGATATTGTCATTAAATCTGTAAAGATATTTCTTGAGAGACATTTTTGTTCCAGTTAATGATTTATTTTGAACACTGCCCATTATGTTTGTGTTAATTTCAGTTTGAAGGGAATTCTTGACAGGATGGAAGGACTGAAGACATCCCAAATCATTAAGTTAATGTCTGCGTGAAGGAGCAGAGAGATGAGTTGATTTCTGCAGAAGCAATTTGTCTTTTTCCAGTTTCCTGGAACTTTCTGTGACTTGTGGTCTTGGTACTGCATGATCTCTGTTTCTAATACTCTGGTCTGAGATAGTCAGTGGCTGCTTTGACCCTCCTTGGAGAATCTCCCCTATAAGGGAATGTATGTATCGAGCTACATGGTTGAAAACTAAAATTAAGCCCTGTGAGACTATTCATGTTTGGCCCTTTCGACTAACCTGAGAAAATTGCATATTTGTGACACAGGACAGTGCCTCGCTAAGACTGGTGAAGGGCAGAAAGGACTGGACCTAGTTAGTAGTCAGCATTGCCTTCATGTTGGTCATTCTTCAGAAATGAGATTAAGAAGTAATATTTTATAAATACTCTACAGGTGTCAGGCAGAGTGTGGAGGGCCTTGTCATCATCCCCACTTTATAGATGAGGAAATGGAAGCTCAAAGATGCGGATCAGCAGCCCAGAGCTCAAAAAGATGGGAAGCTGTGGTTGTCACAACCCCCTTTCTGTTCTGTTCCTTCAATGAGAGTGAGTGCAAGATCACTGTAATTTTTGTAACAATTTCCTTTTCTGTGCTAAGGGCTTATCTTGCTGAAGTGCAATTATAACATCACTATGATGCAACAATCTGAGAATTAAAACCTTTTGTGAGAGCCCTTTCACACACAGGTTGAGCAATGTGCCTGACTCACTCCGGAGTGGATTTTTCTAGTTGACCTTGCTGTGGTCATTAGAGTCAGTTCCGAGATGTAGATGTGATTGCAGCATGGGGTGGAAAAGGTGCAGTCATCATGCCTGGACTTTATTTTTAACCAAGTTGAAAATCACACGTGCTTCATTATTTCCATT